AAACGGTAAAACATTCGTCTCTATCTAAACGATGATCTACACAGTCCAGCAATGATAAATTTATCCTCAAAAGGCTAAAATTACAATAAAAACCCGGAACTTTAACTTTAAGACTTGTCTGTCTGTCTGTACGTCTTTGTTTCACGTATTGTGTGCGAAACGTCTCGGATTTTTCGTTTCGCATCGGCACTCAGCCTTTTAATTGCAGTATTTGAACTAACAAAGGTGGTTGAGTGGCATTATGGCGATTTTCTTTGAATTTACCTTAAATCTTATCGCGTTAAGATCAGTACGGTAAAATATACCCTTATTACTGTTAGTTCAACCGATTTTAATGTCTATTCCGTAAGAATAAAGATGGCATTTAAAGTAAAGAAGTTGTAACAATACCAACTTTCTATTGAAATCCGTATTTGCCATTTCACCAACGTAATAAAAGTCAAAATCGGTTGAACGGACAGTAAAAAAGCATTCCTCAAATGTCTATGTTATTTTGAACAAGTGATTTCTGCATTACAACTAGTAATTATTTTCTTGTTTAAGTTAAGCTATTTTGTAGAAATATCGTCAATTTATGTCCTAATTGCCGTAAAGAGTAAGTGCAATATTGAGTAACCCAATACAAAACATCGCAATTAAAAATACGGTATAACAAATATTTCTAATAAATGTGAATAAAATAGGTATTATCATTGAACTATATTAATCTATACACTCCACAAACTGCACAAATAAACAAAAAAGTTCTTTATACAATATAAAGTAGGGAGGGTACTTGTCTAGGTATTTGTTGTAACTTTTTAGATTTATGACCGTGATATTTAGTGTCTTCGTGTCATGACCTAAGACTAAAAGGTTACCAGACACTTCAATACAAGTCTCAAGAGATAGTACAACTAGAGTCTCAACGGTCTTCATAATCATATTTAAAGATATTGCGCAACGATCTAGCTACCGTAGGCGCGAGTCTGCGGCGAACAAGGGTAGCTCGTTGCCCGACCAGAACCAGACCCGCGCATAAGGTGCACGGTGCGTTGCGTTCCGCATCCGTCTCAAACAGCTAAGACCAGCTCAGATACAGTTGTTCAGGTTAGTATGTGCAAGCGCAACAATATAACGTTACGCATATATTTTAGTCAGTAAGAGATTGATACCCTCTCGCGCCACTCTGGGCGGGTAAAGTCATTTGATGATTTTCATTCCTCAAAAAAATTAACTAAACTACGACTATAGTGATAGATGTATTTTTGATATTACCTAAATACCAATAATATTGGGTTTTGGGTTTATTTTTTACTGCATCGATAAGCACCAAGTTTAAAATTTAAACCTACAACGAATTTTTTTTTCTTATCGTGTTAATTGGAAACTATAATTATTAAGGTTATCTTTTTTGCCTAGCGAAAAAAAAACAAGCAAGAACCAAAATTTTGACATCTACATGCAACCTATTCACGACCGACACAGTCGTGCCGAAAATCGCAGCTCCTAAATCAGACCTTGTTTCACATTCCTGTTTTGTCGTGTCGAACAGACGTCGCCGACTATCACGTTAAGGCGTGACGAATCGTGAATGGGCCTGACTATATCCTTGGAAGACTACCAAAACGATTGTGTTAGGGATAATGTCAATGAAAAGTTTCATTTATATAATAAAATGGCGCACCGGTATCCGTGATCTCATCGATAGGTTTTAATAAAATTGTTTGACCAGGATTTTATATTGGTTCGAAGGGTACAGGTATGTCCTCATTGGAGAACTCGTTCTAAGAACAGCGTATTATATTTAATGATTATTAACTAGCTTTTGCCCGCGACTCCGTTCGTGTGGAATAGTGACTACCTACAGTTTTTTTGGTATAAAAACTATCCTATGTCCTTTCTCAAGTTCTAAAATATGTCTGTACCAAATTTCACAGAAATCGGTTCAGACAGACAGACAGAGTTACTTTCGCATTTATATGTTTTGATAGTTTGGATAGAAAACTTTCATCGACAACTCGGAGCATGGGCAATCAAATACGTAAAAAAATATAAAACAAAGAAGTAAGCTACTAAAAATTACTTACGTGATCAAAACAAACTCATACCCATGTCCTTCTCAACCTAACACAGCACAGACAATCAATAACCAATTCACTCATTACGTAATAAAAAGAAAAACGTAACAGCCGATCCATGACGGCAACCATGTTGTTTTTAAAAGTACCAACAAATCTGACGATTCAATACTTAATTACACACTTTCACGCTCAAAATTAACGGAATGGAAACAAGATGAGATGAATTAGTTAATTAGCAAGGAAAGTGATCTAAATTTCTGAACGGACGCGTAAAAGCTGAACGGTGGAAACCGGATTTTGAATTATTTAGTCAAAGTCAATTAGATGGTTACAGACATTATTGAAGATCGAAAATACTGTGCTGATTCTCTTACAACCAGTTTCCGAAGAACCAACCAATCAGATGACTTGACAAGAGATTAAATTGATTTTAACATTGAACGGCCTTTAATTGCAATAAACTAGTGCTTGACTGCGATCCTACCTGATGGTAAGGATGCAATCGTTGATGGTAAGGCGCACTAGTTTATTAAGAGCCTATTCACTCTAGCCTTGAAGACACCTAAATTGTATTCGGACGGAAAGACTTTAACAGGAGATTAGTTAATTTTAGCGTTGACAAGCCTTTCAGAAATCCCTTATCCCCCCGTAATCACCTACAAAGTTGGCAAAATAATGAAGAATAATTTGCTAATAATAATGTAAACAAAAGTTATAAAAACGTCTTGCGGCTCACCCATCGAAAGAAACAGTATCTAATCGCATAATACACAATACTATTCAGTGTTTGGTCTAAAATAGAAGCGAAAGTCGAATTAAAAACAATAAATAAATAATAACAACACGCTTATATCCAATAACCCCTATCCCCAAAATGCCGGCAACGCACTCGTCCACTCCTTTGGTGTTGCGGGTGTCCATGGGCGGCGCCGATTGCTTACCATGAGGTAAAAGATAGGTTACCATAAATAAAATAATTATACAACATATATCGTGATGGGTTACGTTGAAGACAGTTCAAGATATGTAGTTTTGTCGCGAATTAAGTCTTATTAAGCTACTACTATTAGGTGGCACTTAAGTGTTAGATGAATATTTTCTTCCTACAATCCACCTGGAAGTCTTTAGGAGGGCCTTTATTGTGGTTGCTGCGGCGATGATGATGATGATGATAAAGATCTGATACAATATTCTATACCCATTATGATATACCATGGTTCCCAAAACATCATTAGCATGACAAACCGTCCTTAATATTTCCCACATCAAATACTAAAGTGTGCTAATACAACTTTAATATCCGCCACCGCTTGTAACTTGAATTGTAATTAAGATCCGTTTAATCACAAAACTTCGTGCGAAAAGCATCTATTGTCAAAAATAACGTGTCGAGGCTGCGGAGGTGGACACAATAGCGCTTAACTAATATTATTTATAATGAAACACCACTGTGTGGATAATTCACACTTCCTTCCACCTTTATTAGATTTTTTGTTTCTTTAAGTATTTTCTCCACACTACCTACTACAAAACTGTTGGTGTCGTCCACATAAGACGTTTCGTCATGATATCCTTCTTGGAAGGCACCTTTACTATTACAGCTTAAATGTTTATCAAAAATCACTGCTAACCTAGTCTCCACTAGCCTTTTTTTTTTTTTTTTTTTTTGTCAAGGGAAAATCATCCAATAACTTCTCCCGCCCAGGGTAAGGCGAGAGAGAGTGTCAGACTCTTACTGACTAAAAACCCCCCCGTTCCTTCTCCTGCTCTGGGCCGAGGTCGCGGTGCCTCATTGCGCTTACCCCGCAGCCCCGGCTAAACATCAGCCCTTTAGGGCCCCGACTGTGGTGGTCTATTGGCTCTTTGAGGCGCGCGCGGAACGCTACGCGCCGTACGCTCGGGTCCGGTTCTGGTCGGGCGGCGAGCTACCCTTACTCGCCGTCCGCAGACCCGCGCTTACGGTGGCCGGAGATCATCTCTCGATCCCCGACGTCCGGAATGTCGCCTTCTGCGGCGGCTGGGGCGCGAGGAGGATAGTTCCCTCACGCGCTCCGCCTCCTCCTTTGCGAGCATAACTGCTTCGCAGAAGGAGGAGATAGCTTCCCAGTTCCTCTCACGCTGCACCATGGCCTCGATTAAGGCCGGGTGCGAGAGGTCGCCGCCGCCGATCACTTCCCTGAGAACACGGCGGTGCTCAGCCCAAGCAGGGCACTCCGCCACTGTATGCTCCACCGTGTCCTCCAGGTGATCCTCACAATAGTCTCCACTAGCCTGGGTTGCGGGGTAAGCGCAATGTGGCACCGCGGCCTAGGCACTGAGCAGGAGAAGGAACGGGAGTTATTTTAGTCACTAAGATTCTGACACTATGAGCGGGAGAAGTCCTTTGATGATTTTTCCCTCATAAAAAAACCTTAGTCTCTATCCTCAATAAAAAAAGTAGTACTACTACTTGGTACTAGTACTTTTCTTTAAGGTATGCAGGCAATACACGGCTTATAAAGATAGTAATAGCAAGGAATCCTAGCACCCGGTTTTCATAGGTCAACTTTTCTAGTACAACTTTTCTAATGACACGTGTACAAGTAGACATGTACATTTTTACGTCAAGACAAGTATCTTTTCAATGGTAAGTTTGAACTGTGACCGTTAATATACGGTTAGGCGAAGAAAAATAATTCAAAAACTTTATAATGTGTAGTATAAGAGGTCGATATTATCTGATATCTAGAAGGTCATGATTTCGGTACTAAATCTTTTGAAGAAGGTTTTCATTTTATCGAGGTTTTTCTTAGAATTTTAATTTAGATTGTAACCATTATAGTTACCAAAATTTGCAATTTCTAACAAATTTATATTTAAGTTTATCGGACGCATTTAAACTTTCATTCAATAAAAAAATGATACACAAAAATTAACAAAATCTTTCAATTGTTACAGGATCACTCGAAGCAGCTCCTAGAGCACCTGACTGAATCAGAAAAAATATTCCTATTTGGTGCCAACCCTAGCGGTGAGTACGGATTATGATAATTTCCCACAATTAGCACTAATACAATTAATTTAAAACTAGACTGAATATTAGTCTTATCTATCTAGTGCTTGTTATAACCTAAATTTGTCAAGGGCATGTCTTTTTTTTGTAGAATTATTGACCTTCCTATGTAGAGCACATACGTAACTTTGCTTTAGTCTAGGTAACAACTTTATAATCTTAAACATTACTAACAAAATAAAGCTTTTAAACTAACTTCTACACTTTTGAGGAACTGAAGAAAAGTATCACCTTTAATTAACATATATCACTTACGTAGGTACAATTAGGTTTAAATGGTATTATAGTAGATAGTATTAAATTATAGTTCCTTAAGTTTTTGTCGCGTACATTCCTACATATCATAAACTGCCAGTATCATTATAAAACCACTTCTGACTAACAGTCTTCTTAAGAATCATGCTATAGTTAGACACCAATAATTAAAATGGAAAGTAATTATGATTCGCATGCAGAAAAGCATGTTGCTAGTTGATACCGCGAAAGCTGCCACTCCAATAAGGTAAATTAAAGGTGTCGACAAGCCGTGAGAGAAACTACTTTTTCAGAAAGCCTTATAAGTCATTGAGACTGGATATTTATTATACTTGCAGCTGCCATTGGATGCATTCAAGACATAAGTCATTCAACATTAGATTTAAAATCAAGGGTAATAAAGTTAAAATTTCTAATGGATCTAATGAGCAAGTTGTTTATAAAAAAATAAAACTTATTGTAAAACTCTCTTTCGATGTGTTTTATGCAGAGCAAATTTTTGCCAGTTATTAGGATCTATGTCAAATAGTAAGAGAAAAAATCTTCCGCCCTGGATGACTTCAGTGAGAGTGTCACTCTTACTGACTGATAACCACCCCTTTTTTCTTCTGCTCCGGTCCAGGGGCGCGGGTCCGTTAATGAGCTTTCACCTGCCAACCTGGCTGGCCCTATTGGGTCCATCTGTGGCCGTCTAATGCCTCTTTAAGGCGAGCGCAAAACACGACGCGCCTTATAGTGAAACTATTGCTAAATATAACATTACAATGCATTACATACTAAGTACATTAGTGAATTATTCATTCGTTGGTTTGGCAAGCAACCGATGCCGCCTACGGAGTAAGTCTTTATTCTTACTGCGTGGAGCTGCCCATCGACACCTACAATAGCGATGATTTACAAATGCGTTACCGATATATTAAGGGTAAAAGATTTAATAATGGAACATTCGGAGCTTAGGAATGTGGTTAAAATTGGGCCAGTAATCTGATTCATACGGCAAAACGCAACGCAGGGGTCATTTGGCTCTCCCACACTTAGAATACAAGTTATTCGAACACATACATTCTTCTTCCACAGAAGCACAATTCGAAGTTGCACATCTCAAGCAGCCAAAACGTCGTAAGCGCTCATTACTATACGACGACCAGGATCTAGTCGGGCTGAAGAAGCACCTGGACATCAAACTAAGTCCCAGGAACAGTTTCCTGGACCCTCAGTTCCTGTTGATGAGAAGGTGGTCCAATAACACTGAGGTGGTATTGGATCAGCATGCTGATGAAGAAGTAGACTTGTGTTATTATAGGGGGGATAATGCAGCGTTGTACGTTTGTAATGATGTGGTGAGTTTCTCTTTGTTATAGTTATTTGTAACAGAAAAAAGCCTTTTTTAAAGCCTTAATGAGACTGTCGTATTGGAAGTAAGGCACTTTTGGTCATTTACTTAATTATTTCCAATGCCTAGTACGATATAAATCAAAACTAAAAATGCCAATGAAATTAGAATCAAAAGCACGTGCTCAGTTCAGAACTCGAAATGTGAGTATGCCTGTGACGGGGTAACCAAACGACATTGTAAGAAATTTTATGAAGAAAATAATAAAAATCTCTAGACAATCACTTAGTAGTAAAAGCTTTTATCACTTACATCCGTTGTTTAACGTCGTCATCTCCAGCGTCTGAGACATCTAGGCCAAAGAAATTTTAATAGCTGACATTTTATTCTAGGTACAATCATGAGAAATTTTAATTCAACTTTCGTCTAATTACATATTCTTTTGCAGAGAGGATTCGTCAGATCCAACGATACTTACTATTTCATACATCCACTGCCAGATAGATTTCACGATGACCATGCAAAAGCACATGTGATCGTGAAAAAACAAATGAATGAAAACAAAGATGATGACGACTCATGTATAGAGAGAGATAATATAATCGATGACCCACAACCACCAAACACATGGAAGAAACATAGGAGAAAACGTGAAGTACTAAGCAATGTAAATAATAATTTAGAAGCATTCAAAGTTAATTTAGCACATAGGAATAAAACTATTACTGATTTTATACAAAAACTATCGAATGGACCGCCAAGACAACGAAGGGCGATACTGCCAGCTGTTTTCGTGGAAACAGCAGTATTTGTAGATAGAGATTTATACAAACATATGACAATAAATTTCCCAAAAGACACAGAAAGGGAATTAGTGAGATTCGTGCTAGCAATGATAAACGCTGTACAATTGATATACCACGATCCTTCTTTGGGAAGACCGGTAAATTTCATACTGAAAAGACTGGAGATATTGCACGAAGACCCAGCTAATTTGAAAAGACCGCATGATATAGATAGGTTTCTTAGTAACTTTTGCACGTGGCAAAGACTGGAGAATCCTCCTGGAGATAATGATCCGTTACATTGGGATCATGCGTTGATACTGACTGGATTAGACCTGTACGTAGTGAACAAGAATGGAAAAGTCAGCAGTCAGGTTGTTGGTAAGTAAAAACACGTGCTTTTACTTATCTATAAGATACAAACATGTTTTAAAGAATATCATTTGAAGCATTACACACTGGGATCTATTTCTGACCCTAATAGCACCTAAATCGGAAAAGACATGAAAAAAATCCCGTAGCACCTTCTGATGATAAGCATGACAACAAGACTAATAACAAAATTATTTTCTTAAAGTAAACCATCAATATTACCTCCTATTATATGAAATTGGATTATAAGTAGTTTATAACGACTCAATAGTACGCCTATAAGTTTTGCCATTACAATTCGTGAGGCTTTCGTCAAGTGACGCTCCACATCAAATTGATGTGGCAACGTAATAGACCAGAGACGTATTACAGTCATTACATGGTTAGTCAGTATTATTATAATAACTAATGCTTTTGTCACGAAACGTTACTGTTAGAAATGAATTTTCTTCATAAATAAGTGTTTAAGAACCGTTTTCTGAAGTAGCAATTTACTTAAATTGTATGTGATTTAGTCGTTACATTTTTTGTCAATTTCTTTTCGTAATACCGTACTTCCTCAGTTCTATCGTCATATCAACCGGAATGTTCTTGTAGTTCAGTAACTACAAAAAATTATGACCTATACATATAATTTTTTCAGCAATGTTAATAAAGATTATGATCACGACAATGATTGTGAGCATTGTCGCTGAAAGAAAAATAATTTAGGACAGTAGTACCTCTTTGTTGGATTAAGCTTGTTACTCACTCCAACTCCGAGAACCTAGACAGAAATAAAAATTTGGACGAAACCAATGTAACAACAAAAATATGTTACGTTTTTGCATACATTGGTTGGATGATAATAGTATTATAATCTGAACGTAAGAAATAGTCCGGCTTATTGATTCTTTAATAAAGGATTTTAACATTTCTACTATTATTTTCAGGACTAGCGCCAGTAGCTGGAATGTGCACTGTCACTAGCAGCTGCACTGTCAACGAAGGACGGCACTTTGAAAGCGTCTACGTTGTTGCCCACGAAATTGGACACAAGTGAGATTTTATTTATTTCCCATTAAAAAAAAACCTTTTTTAAAAATTGCGTTAACATACGAGGCTTTGATGAGACGTTTGCAAAAACGATACAATACAAGGTCAATTTCTTCATTCACCAAAACCCTTTTTTATTTTTCGCTTTTCGTTACTTTCTTCCCACTTCTGAACACAGGCTAGGCCCAGTGACGTTGTATCCACTCTACTGTTAGATATAAATATAATAATATATCAGTGGACACCTTGTGGATAATGATGATTGCTAAGATGTTGGTGATGATGATGATGATGTAGGATCTATGCAGATTGTTTAGAAGTCAACACACACAACAATCAACTACCAGGGCCGAGACGATGTCCATATCTGGGCGGAAAATAATCTGGTACAAAACGAAATCTGTCATTGAATTAACCTACTCAATGACAAACAGTTCACAAAAGTACTTTTGCAGATGTTCCCATCTGGTAAGAACAGAAGTTATTTCAATTAGCAAAAGTCGTTAGACATATTGCAAAAATAATTAGCAAAAACAAAGATGTTCTATTTAGATGTAATGTAGAATGCTTAACACTGAATGGGTACATACCCTAGCCACAAATTGGCTTAAACTTAGGATAAAGAAAACTAAATTTAGAAATTTAAATTGCCGGCAATAATTACTTACTTCGCTTCTCTTTCAAACAATTATAATGTCTAAAACATTGCAATTATAAATAACTATTTAGTTTCTTATATGTATTTTAGTAATAAGAATTTAATTTGTTTAATAATTTAGAATAGATTTTGTAGATGAGATAGGCTCCCATTATAACATATTAAAGAAGAAAAGATTGTCTAGTTAGAAACTATTATCGATCTAAACGGGCTAGACTACATAACCCTAACGGTCTCTGTAACATTTTTCGGAAAGGAAACAAAGAAAGAATAAATATCAACTACATTACGAACTAGCTATTCTCGCGCGGTTTCACCCACTGCTGGGCTCCTACAGATCGTAACGTGATATTTTACAGCCTTCCTCGATAAATGCACTAACAAACAAAAAAAGAATTGTTTAATTTGAACCAGTACCTACGTAGTTCCGGAGATTAGCACGTTCAAACAAACAAACTTTTCAGCTTTATAATATTACTAGCTTTTGCCCGCGACTTTGTTCGCGTGGAATAGTGACTTCCTGCAGATTTTAGTTAAAAAAACTATCCTATACCCTTTCTCCAGTTCCAAATTATGTCTGTATCAAATTTCACAAAAATAGGTTCAGTAGTTTAGGCGTAAAAAAAAGATAGACAGACAGATAGAGTTACTTTAGCATTTATAATATTAGTTTGGATTTGGATTAGTGTAGATTATAATATTGTACAGATTATGCAAACAATTAAGACGTGAAAAGAACAAGCAACACAACAAAAGACAAAAAAGAAGTAATATCAAGCAATCAAGCATCGATTAAGTAATCCGATCTTTGATTTTACGACTTGTTTACGTCAGTAAAAAGCTTGAAGTTTTGTTAACCTCTACATAGGCATTCATTTGTGACAATTAATTTACTTGTGCTAGTTTATTGTTATAAATATGATTAGTTAGAAAAATATTTATATTTTATTAAACGACTTTTTTCTCGTAATTCACATCGTTTTTCTGCTAGGAAAAATTACCACTACCGACAATACGTATTTCTTTTCGTTCTCATCTGTCTTTCACCATAAACACCTTTGCGGATTTCACTAGCCCTTTCTTATGATTTAGTTTAAACGTGCTTCTATTTTCCAGCAATAATCAACAAAATCTTCGTATTTTTTCCCAGTCTTGGTATGCGTCACGATGGACCCTTAGCTGACAACGGCTGTGACCCCAGCGCATATATCATGAGCCCTACCCTTGGTAGTGGTAAGATCACCTGGTCACAATGTAGCAAGAATTATCTTCAGAAGTTTTTAGAGTAAGTACTTAATAAAACACCCAAACAGTTTCAAAAATCCATTCTATTCCAAATTAGAAAATCAAAAACCTGTTAAGGACCCTAATTATGTTGTGGCTGGTTTTCTGAAATAAATATGTTTCTTACAGCACCGTACAATCACGGTGTCTCCTAGACCATGGAAACTCAGCCGGTCAACTGGACCACAGCGCTGAAGGCATTCTACCTGGAGAACGATTTGACGCTGACCAACAATGTAAGTATTAGGAAAACTCCCAAATAACTTCAAAATGTGAAAATGGGTATCAGAATTCCAGCTTTAGTTTCGCTATTACAGTGCTAATTTTCATAGGAATTGTTGACTCGAACTTCACAAGCGAAACTATTTTGATATGCTATCTGAAAAGCTGGTTAAAGATACACCAATTAATCGAGACACTATAATTCCAGGTATGCTAAAATATGGACGAGGCAGTCGACACTCAGGAGCTCAGAGCCTCGAAGACATTTGCAGGGACCTCCACTGTCAACGTGAGAGGTATACTTGGACCTCCCATCCTGCTTTAGAAGGCACACGATGTGGTGAGGATATGGTGAGTAAAACATGTATTGAAAAAATGTGAGAAATATTAAAAATTCTGTTGAATTTTTGCGTTAAAAATCATTCCATGTTGATATTACGTAAATTATGATAAAGATACTACAAAAAAGATATTAAAGACGCAGGAAGACTAAGGGGCTGTTCCTCCATTTTCATCTAAGTACCTAATAAACATCTCTAGCAGATTGTTCATGCAAATTACATTTATATCCAAATTTATCTGGTAAGAGGCGTACTAAACGTTGTGAAAAGACCCTAAATGATACATGTATCTTCTAGATAAATAAGGCAAGTAGTTTTACTTAAAACACCCTCGGCGTTATGGTCACCAAAAACTTTCCCAAACAGAAATTTAATTCTACTTTCTGCCCACTATCCCCTACAGTACTGCAGAGGAGGCGAATGCGTGGAACGTGAAGGGTCTACTGTAGTCAGAGGCGCGTGGGGTCGCTGGTCTAGCTGGTCAGAGTGCGCTTCAGCCTGTCTCGTAGACGATACGCATGCCCCCGCTGCTGCAGGAGTCGCTGTTGCTACTAGACGATGCAATAGAGCAAGGTATGTGTCAAGAATATTTCATTTCGACATCAGCATATCACGGCAGCAGCAAATGAGCAAACGGATTACCTGATGGTAAAGTATTGGCGCCAGCCATGTACACCAGAATTATTACGACGTGATTTGCTGGACTTTTGGATTTTTAGGGATTGGAGAGGAATGTGGGACGGGAAGGATAAGGCTACCGGTACCCTCACTCACATTGCTAAACACAACTGTGATTGTTTCACATCGATTTTCTGTGAGGCCGGTGCACGCAGCGATAACAAAGGACCATGGTACCAATCCAGTCAAACCAACCGATTCGTGTCAAAGCATGGTTCTTCTTTGTTTAGAATATTTGCGGGCTCCAAAATGTTGAAATAGGTTTGTGTATACGACATAGGTGATCACCTACTCACGTCAATTTATATACTTAAATAAAACTTCGAAACTACTATGAAAACAACAAAAGGCTGCTCAAAGCAAATGCTATAAGAATGTTAAAACGTGGTACGACTTGCTTATAACCCGACTACGCTTACTTATGGCGTTAAAATCCACTTAATAATCAAATTCCCTTACAGACATGAAAATGGAAAGAATCACTGCGTGGGTCACGATAAGAAGTATCAATCGTGTCATGCTCAACAGGTAGGTTCTCTAGTCTTTTAGCTTAAAAGAAGAGAAGAAAAGCGAAGTTACTAAAGAAGTAATTACTATTACAGTGCAGCAATGTTCCTAGAATGACAGTCCGAGAGTTTGCTGACCAGATCTGCTTGAGGGCACGAGATGTAGACCCTGATCTTATTGGAACTGGGCTGCAGAGAATCGATTCTGATGGTAAGTTTTTGAAATGGCATTAGTGCATTTACAAATAACTTATTTTTGTATACGTGTCCGGTACCTGTGCCTCTTCCCAAGTCTTTTATGGAATGTTTCCTCTGGCTTAAAGTACAAGCAACAATTGAGATGGTTCATGACCCTTGGCTACTAAGAAGTAGCCTGAATATGAGTGACACAAATTTCGGTTTCGGGTTCCAACTGAAAATCTGTGTTGAGTGCTCATTGTGCCCTGCTTTTGCCGAGTTGGCAAAATGGCGACCCATTCTGAGTAGTTTATTTTACTCCTATTGTTATTCTGTTTAACCATGTATTCCTATTTTGCTTATTATTCGTTTTTTTAATCTGTTTATTGTTTTTTTTATGTTATAGTTTTTTTGTTACCGGCTGTCATTTTTGTATAAGCATAATTGTATAATCGAATAAGCGCATTTTTTTTTCTTTCTCTCTGATTTCCAAACATATCATATCTCATAACCAAACGCCAAATAAAACCTGTTTTAAATAAAGAAAAGCTAAAGCTATTTTGCAACCATATCGCAGATGTGAGCAGTGCATGTGCAGTATGGTGTGACACCCGCGGCGGAGGGTACAAGTCCCGCGGCTGGAGCCTGCCCGATGGTACCGCGTGCTCTAACGTCTCACCCATGTTTTGTATCAGCGGTATCTGTCAGGTACGGTATTGAAGCTTATTATCTTCTAGCTAGCTGACACGGCAAACGTTGTTTTGCCATATAGGTAAATTATTTATCACATTGGGGTATGAAAAATAGCCAGTAGCCGATTCCCAAACCTACTGAATATGCATTTGTAAAAATAAGTAAAACCGTTTCGGAGGAGTAAGTTAACTAACATTGTGACACGAGAATTTTAGTTATAAGATTAGCAAAAAGGTAGAGGTATTGTTTTTATTTTCTGTTCTTCTTCCTACGTATCTACAGGTTGTGATACGCTGGAGATGATCTTATTTATAAATTTCTTTCTGTACCCATGCGTTTAATAAATAATTTATGAATCTGCATTGCGTTAAGATCTCTGCACGAGTTTCGAGTCATTGATATTTTTTACTAAATGTCAGTTATTCTCAGATCCTCTCTTGACAGAACATTTATTTTAAGTATGGTAATCTTTCAGAAATTCACATGTTCATCAAGCCCTGACACAGAATTTTCATTAAAGCCAAGTGACTGCGAATGGGAAGCGTTGAGAACTGCCACGCCACCAACAACTCCGTAAGTTCCGCTACTTGTCTAAACGACATTATATACAAACCTTAACATTTAGCATTAAGCACGAATTCTGTGGACAAGACAGTTTTCAACTTTACACATACACTTTTCGTTACTCAATTAATCAATTATATAAACATCAAATCTTCGTATTCCTAATGCTCTACCAAATAAACCTTTACAGGACAAAGACATCAGGCACATGGCGTCGTGCAGTAGGTGGTCAATGGCGTCCCGCGTCAGGCTGCCACTACCACTGCATCTCCCCAGGCGCTGGAGTCAGACTTGTCACCGCTACCAGCAGAGACCGACCTTTGACTAGCATTCAGCTATGCTCCCCTGATAGTAGACCTGATTCTGTAAGTATTCTGTATTCTTGTGAATTTATTGATCTACATGATCATCATCAACCGAAAGACGTCCGCAGCTGAACAAAGACCAAGGGGGACCTTTGTCTACCACGACGAACAAGAACTCGCCACCTTCATCATATTGATCAGTATATTTTTAACTAGCTTCTCCCGCGCGGTTTTAATCTTTCCTCATCTGCTATGGGTCCTAACGTGATGTTTTATAGCCTAACGCCTTCCTCATAAATGTACTCATCTGTATCCAACAAAAAAAAAGATTTGTTCAATTAGAAGTACCTACCTATAGTCTATAGTTCCAGTAGTTCCGAAGATTAACGCGTACCTATAAATTTCATTTTGTAAAAAGACTTTATATAGCGAAATATTTGTAGAATGAGTTTAAATGAAATGAAGCCCAGAAATATTACAACAAATCTTTTTTTTTATTCGTGATATTATGACCTACTTTAAGCGAAATAATTACGTTTGATCCGTGTTTCCTTATAAAAGTGTGCACCCTAACAACTTTAATGTCGATTTTGTTACAGGGTTGTACACAAAGGAAATCCCCATACCAATATGCGACCATGGTTTGCACCAAGTACAAGGATAGAGTAAGGCGATTGTCTGGATTGGGAATGCAGATATCACCAGCTTTAGGTAAATAAAACAACTAACATCTATTGTAATTGATAAAACTGATTGATTTATAAAAATCAATACAAATGTTTCACTCGCTCACTATAAGTTAGAGCGGTTTTCGATTTCAGTCACGAGATGGCGCTAATGAGACGTAAGGTTCTATTAATTTTATTAATCCAAACAGTTCAGTTGTCACATTGGGATTGACCAATAACTGGAAATGTGTATGTAGATATAAAATATTACATACTTTGTCAATAAACCTTTAGCAATTCTACAGTTTCTTGCACCAAACCATTTCTGTTCAAATCCAGGAGAAAAACAAAATTTCGGATATATTAACCTGGTGAAGACCTACATTGACTACATTGAGTAGGTAATCTATATCTTGCCTGTTATCTTATGCTGCAGAGGATCCGGACCGTCCTTGTCGTATAGCGTGCCAGGACGAGCGTGTCTCCCATCGGTTCTACCTGGTCAATGGACACGAAGGCTGGTTCCCGCTTGGCACATCTTGTGGCAAGAGAAATGCTTCTTACTGTGTCAGTGGAAAATGTTTGGTAAGAATTTTATATGGATTATATCATTAACTGCATATATACTTATCATAATAAAGCATACAAGAAAATAATAAGTGTAAAGAACTGTTTTCAACAATTTAACAATGAATAAATTGGTTTTGAGAATAAAAAAATGATAAGTTTTACATACGTCTCAGTTTTACTGGTCACATACCTACATAAACCGAATAATTGTATTAAATACAAACTACTTTTCCCCTGTTATTAATCTTAGGGGGATGATTACTTAGCTCTAAAAACTTGCAATGATGAAAATAGGCAAAAGTTCACAATTTCAACCCACAAAGTATAAAACACAGTAGTTTTCTCTGTCCTTATATCCCTTATGTGATTTAAATCTTTAACACTATGCAGCGGATTTTGATGAGGTTATTTAATACCTAGATAGACTGATTGAAGGGGGAAAATAATAGTAATAACAGCGCCTACGCGAAGCCGGGGCGAGTCACTAGTACCAAACTGCCAGGTGCGTATTCTCTGAATGCGGAAATATAATATCTAGCATCCCCTTATTGACAGTTTTGTACAGAAAGAAACAATTACCTCCAAACACAGCTAATTTAACCCTTATCCCCAGGAATTCGGTCCGGACAACACTCCAGTATCGGAGATGGTGTTCACGCTGCCCCTGCTGGGCCGCGGCGCCAACGCCAGCGTGTCGTGGAGCTCGGCGCGCTCCTCGCGGCATCGACGGCGTCGCTCTCTGCGCGCCCAGCGGATCACTGTCAAGGCCACGCTCGACCAGACGCATCTCGATGATATCATTGCTAGGCTCAATTTGACACGTAAGTGGAGTACTATTTTAGTCAGAAAGAGTCTGACACTCGCTCGCCCGACGCGACATGTGATGATTGCCCCTTACAAAACAAAAGTGGGGTGCAACGAAGCATTTGAAGGATATGTGGACTAATGAAAACGATAATTCTCTGATGGTAATCAATCAGTGCTCCTTATGGCCACCCGCAACCAGATGTGTGTGATGGCGGGGGGTGAGATTTCTTTAAAGTTGAAGTCTTCCAAAACCTCGTAAAAAAGCCACGTAAGCGTTGTTTCTCAAAAGCCGGCCCTTTCGGACAGAGTTTTGTAACAGAGACTTTCGTATCTCTAACCGATAGAATAAACGTGAACTAGTTGCATTAAAAAAGCAAAAGTTGCCATAAATCAACAATATTCCAATATCTTAATCGACCAAAATTATTTTACTTAAAAATACCTACACGACTAGTTTCAAGCCATGCTTACCCATATTCATGAGCTTGGACGGCTTGAAACTAGTCGAGTATCTCGTAAAATTATTACGTGCGTAAGCCGAAAACACAATAATTAATCTAGAATGTCTCACGAAAGTTATAATAAAAATACTTAAATCTTTATAAACATTTCTTTGCAGACAACCTGAACGACCACATAACCTACTTCGACACAGTTCCAGAGCATATTGAGCTGGACTTCAACAACCCAATACACATTGCGCCTGAAGACACACTGCTTAGGAAAGCCCCTAGGCCAACGTGGGACTGAAGAAAGAACAAAATATTGGCGCTGTTTAACAAACTTTATGTAACGGATATCTCATCTTATAGGGAACTGCGAAATGTGACTTAAAGCTATTGAAGAAGGTAATTTCCTGCGACTTTGTGCGTAGTATCGGACTAAAAATTTGCCCATGTATCATTCCAGACCATAATCTATCGCTATAGCAATTACCATTCAATTTCGTTCAATAATATATTTAACGTGAAAAGGTGACAAATATCAATCAATAAATCCATTTTGAAATCTCCAAAACCCTAATCCTTTAGGTCGTCAACTCACTCGTAACTCCTCCATTGTTGCGGGTCTCCATGGGCGGCACTGATTGCTTACCATCAGGTAATCCGTCTGCTTGTTTGCCGACCTATCGCATTAAACAAATCCATCTTAGAGACTTTCCCGTTTCTATTACAAATTGCAATTTATATATAAAACTATAGCCTTTAAAACGATAGTGGCGCCATTGGTTGTGAGAAGAACTTATACGTAATTTGTAAAGACTATACCAATCAGAGTGGAAATACAAAGTAGACTTGTACGGAATAAAATCGAATTTCGTCCTATAACTGAAATAATATAATATCTTTGTGTACATTATTATCTGTTGTATAGAATTAGAAAACAAAATAAAAAGCCCTGAATCAAAGCCAAAATATTATAGAAACTTGAAGTTTTTATTCCAAGGCATTATTTTCCAGTACTGTTAAAGAACAAAATTTGTACAATATACCTCTCTATGAATTTTGTTCCTGTGGTGCAATTTTAGGATTAAAATAATAATACCGGCCGAAAGGACAAAGAAAAATACACCTTAACTACAAAAGTTTAAATTTGAAATTCCAACAATTCAGTGCTGTAGTTGCTCCTAATATCGTTTGTTAGAATTTCAACTTTAACAAAATGTAACCAAGGTGCGTTTTATTTGTAATTTACCGCCACTAAGACATTGTTAATTAAATTAACAAATTATAGTTTTAACATATTTTTGTAAATACTTGTCAACAATAATTATTGTGATGAAATTTTAGTTATTTATTTATATCTTATAGACTTTTATACCATTGTTACTAAGTAGACTTAAGTGAAATAAAAAGATATTTTATACAACTTACGAAGTTTTATTTTCAAAGGCACTTATCATTTGAAGCCGAGTTATTTTTGAGAACTGTACATACAAATACACATACAAAATAGCACATATTAGTTGTTGGTGTATATAATGAATACCTTTTTTTTAAATGACTTACATCCGGTTTCCGGATGGCCGATCAATGTTAAAATCAATTTAATCTCTTGTCAAGTCATCTGATTGGTTGACTGAATTATCAACAACCAATCAGATGACTTGGCAAGAGATTTAAGAAGAGATTAGTTAATTTCAGCGTTGACAAGAATTTCAAAAAACGGGTTTTACCCGCGTAAATTATCTACGGAAAACTACTACTTAGTAGAAGTTATTTATTCATTCTTTTATTTATTATTATGATTTAGCTGCGAGACGGCGCCGCAACGCGCACGCTGCTCACGAATAAGAGTCCCGTTGTGACTCGAAACTAGTTGAACTTTCCTCGGTTAATTTACGTATAGCGTTGTTTTTAATACATTCAGTATGTCTCACGATAGAGTTACTACTAAAAAAATCCTTTTTTAGTATGGCTCCCGGCATGATTCTTGAACGACAATTTGTGCAACAAATACAATTGCGTGCAAATTCCATGTCGTATTTCCTAACCAGTTTCTTTTTTATTTATTTAGGAACACGATTACACGAATGCTTTATGTTATAATATAATGTGTGTTATAAATGCATTTGTAGAACATGAGATAACAAACAACGTTATGAAGTAGAATAATTAAAATATGTTGGGTAGTTTCCTAAGTCAGTAAAAAAATATTTCTACTTATAAACCCATAATATCAATAGTAAAAAAGATTTTATGATGTAAATATTGTTTTTTTTTATTATTTAAAGAAATAAGTATGATATTTGACGTTAAAGAATTCGTCACAATTTCCTGTTCACTACAAATTTATCATTTTTATTATTTGGGTGAAACTATTGAATTTGACTAGTTGGAAACTACCGTATTACTTGGACATTTTCATTTACTAGTAAATCTTGTTGTTCGCGTTCTTCAAGGCATGCAGAAGTCTTGCAGGGTCCGTTAGGAACCATTGCCATAGCTTTCGGATATTGTTTTTGTCACCATTCTGGAATCAATAGAAATTCTTTTTAGATAAAGTCGCAAATAACGCTGTTTTCCGTCGAGTCTACGAGCTAATCCGCTGAGACATGGCAAATAGCATGTCAGTAATTTTAGTTAGTTTGCAAATTTGACTTTCTTTTCTATTTATTTAGACGAGACAAAGGAGCTATACTTAAGCAAAGTCGCACGCACCAAAACACAGCACTACTATTGGTATCAACAATTTCTTATAGTCCACTACTCAAATATCGAGCATTATCTAGCTTACATAGGAATGGCATAATTTTATGATTTTCAGGCGTGTACTTTTATTATTACAGATTATTCATACATTCAATCATTCATTCATCCAATCATTCGTTTTTAAATCTATTAGATCATTCATCTATTTGTTCATTCATTCTTCATTTTCTTCATTCATTGGTTAATCCATTCATCTATTTATGGGTATATTAGGCGAGAATTCTAAGGAGAAGGTACTTTCACTTTCCTATGTAATATAAAACTCCAGAAGATGGTGCATAAGCCATTAGTCCGAAATTGACAAAATATTCGGCATGGCACTATCGTCTTTACGACCATGATAATAAAGATAACGAAAGGAAAAAGTAACACACATACCTTAACATTGGTAAACATATTACTAGCATCCAGTACTCTCTTGTCGACTAGTTCCATTTGTTGTCGCAGAGTATGCGCTAGCGCAGCGACGCCGCGGTCCCCGCGCCCCGGCTGCCGAGTGCAACCAGACCAGACTGACGAACGGAGAGACGACGTCGATTCGTTGCTGGAATGAATGAAAGAATACACAATATAATAACTTCAATTTTCTACCTTCTTTCAAAAGATAGGTTGAAACCACACATTTTTATAGAATAGAACGAGAAACTTGCAGACGGATCACCTGATAGTAAGCCATCAATGCTGTTCGTCTAAACCTTCAATGCCAAAGGAGTTACAAATAGTTTGCCCTCCTTTTGGGGAAGAGTTTGAACTTACTGTAACCTCACTTAAACGATGATACCCTTGCTACGGATGCAAGCCTTGTTTCACGTCTGTCAGACCGTGGCAACCGTGGCAACTGAAGCATGGGTTTCTGACGTAAAATCTTTTTGCTATTAATACACGGCGAGATATTGTGAAATAGCACATCTCTGTAACACGATACTGAATTATGTATAACGAACGTATAAGGTAAGGTAATATACATACGTATGAGGTTCCGTTATATTGAAATAATATCAGGCCGTCATCAGCCTATGAGTGCCCACTGCTGAGCAAATACCTCTTCTTACATTAAGCATTAATGTGGAGAAACGTATTATAAGTCCATGTTTCCTCACGATGATTGCTTCTCCATCACTTAGGTGTATATAAATAAACTTAAAAAGTACACGTATCTTGGAAAAAGTTACATAAGTACTTGCCAGATTTCGGACTTGACGCGAAGGCTAGTCAATCAACTGCTGTGCAACGTGCCGCGTGTTCAATTCAAGCACGGAACAACTATTTGTGTGATTCACATTTTTTTGGATATGCATTTGATTTTCTATGTTTACTCGTATAAATACACCGAAGACACAGAAGACAAACTTAACGTTGAGCAATGTAAAGAAAAAAATAAATTAGTTTTACTTACATAGCTACAGCCATATTCTCTTTTTTCCTATACCCATCTTCGACGTTATCCTTCAACTCCTTAACTTGTTGCAGCATTTCATTATACGCCTTCACTAAAACCCCGGCGTCACCCGACTGCGCGCCTAAAATGTGCAGTAATGCTTGAAGGAGCATATCCGAAGACTGAAGCTTGAGCTCACAGGAATCTTGTTCGGAACATATTTCGTTCATTGAAATCTGCAAACAGAGCAAATATGTTTATCCTATAGCGGCCTCGGCTCCTACAGATCGTAGCGTGATGTTTTATAGCCTAAAGCCTTCCTTAATAAAATTGGTCTATTTAACACAAAAATATTTGTTCAATTCGAATCAGTAGTTCCTGAGATTAGCGCGTTCAAACAAACAACCAAACTCTTCGGCTTTATAATATTAGTATAGATAACGAAGTTCAGAAACGGATCTCAGAGGGCCTACGATGAAGTGTTAAAGCGTGAATCTTTCGGGCGAGAAAGAGGGATGGTTATAAAAGGTGTATGGCTCCATCCCTCTTTTTCGCCGAAAGCTTCTTTTCTGAACTTTTTTATCTATACTCATATTTTTAAGCTGAACAGTTTGTTTGAACGTGCTTATCTCAGAAACGACTGGTTCGAATTGAAAAACTATTTTTGTGTTTAATGGACCATTTATTCAGGAAGGCTAATTAAAAAATAATATTTATGATTTATTTACAAAAATCAGGATAAGGTTCCTTCAAGCTACCGGCGCCACCTCCATTGTCATTGGTAACACCAGAAGAGTTACTATACTCGGAATTTTAATTCCATTCCAGATTTGACAAATTCAGTGTTGCAACTTTATGACACGTACAAAATAGTGACGTTGCGAAATTATTCGATATGGAAATCGAATATTTCTGAATCGATTCCTCTCGTTTATAAATTTAATCTCGTAAACTAAATTTATCAGGAAATAAAATATTTCTGAACCGATAATTTAGTTTTGACAATTAATTAACGATCTGAGACTTTTCTTTTGTAACTGTGTGTGAAATTAATAAAAAATTTGATCATGAAGGAACATGACAAATAAAACAGAAATTTTATAAATTGTCACCGTCATCGCTATCGCTGTCGCTGTTACTTTCTGTAACATTTGTTATGAATTGTGTATTCAAAAATCACAGATTTTTATTGTCAATTAACATATCTAGCTTACTCATTTTTTCCTCTTCTTTGACAACATGGGATACGCATTTAGACCATTCGGTAGCCGCAATTTTTTGAATGCCTTCCTGAAACTGATTCACTGATTGTTTATCGATTTTTGTGTTCATCACTACACTGTTATTATGTGGTATCATTATTTCACAAAATGACAGTAGGTCATGTCAAATCAGGAATCGAATTAAAATTCTGACTATAGTGCATTGCTGCCCATATAGGGGACAGTTTCGGAGAGTTAGAGATTGAGGAGGCATGGGGGAGAAGCATCGGTACAAGAGTAACCTCACACACACGGTAAAACAACGCCGGTTTTCTGTAAGGCCGCGGTATCAATGTGGTCGAGCCGACCTATTTGTGCCGAAACATGGAAATCTTACAGTTAAATTAACTAGGTACTAGGGGTCTGTTTCTACGCAGTGAAGTAGTACGTAGGGTGGAGCTACTCAACATTTTTGCGAAGTACGTTGCGGCTTGACGACGAGAGGATACATATATATACAAAATCGTGGCTATCCCAGGGCTGCGTAAATTGAGAAATTGAGAACTCAGTTTCATGTTCAATCATGTACTTACAATCCGACTAATAACAGCACTATTATCAGCTACAACGTATTGCCTCAGTTGTGAAGCTAGTTGCAGGAACTCCTCAACATTGCGCAGCTCGTGTCGGAGCGCGCTGTACACGACGCGGTCGAGGCACACAGCGCGGTGCGTCGTCTCTAGGAGATGCGTTAGATCTGCGTGGATTTGTCTGGGAAGAAAGAGTAAAGCCAACATAATTATGCTTGTTATGTAATTTGTTTTTAAAACGCAACGGAGGAGTTACGAGTACGTTCCCGACCTTTTAGGGATTAGGGATTTGGAGATTTAGGGCGTGAGGAGGGATTGGGGGTGGGGAAGGATTGGGCCTCCGGTAACCTCACTCACACGGCGAAACACAACGCTGTGGTTGTTTCACGTCGGTTTTTTGTGAGGCCGTGGTATCACTCTGGTCGAGCCGGCCCATTCGTGCCGAAGCTTAGCTCTCCCACACTTAAAATCTTCATCACTTAAACTCTTTCTGATTACCGGGCCAGGGCCGCAAACCTTATGGCCACGGAATAGAAAATACAGTGGAAGTGCCGCTCAGACATCGCGCGCTAACCAACATGATGAATAGATATACAACATTTTGGCACATTTGTTGTCAGAATCGTTCGATCCGTTGTCATGATTGGTTGTCATGGTTGTCTCTAAGAAACACGAAATATATTAGAAATTATGCCTTGTTGTGCGGTTTTCAACTGCAAAAAAGTAAGCAGAAAAAAAGATGAGTCTTGTGGTGGTGTATCGTATCATCTTTGAGTATTAACCTTTGTTAATTTTAAATATATTTGATTTTAATGTAAATATCACATTTCATTACTTCAATGCAAACTATAAAGGGCCTTATTTTCATTACAATTAAGTTTAAATCTACTTGTTCGTTATGTGACGTTATATACAATATATTCCAGTAGTTTCGACGCTACTCATTTAGGGATGGGACACATTCGTAAATTAGGTTCGTATCGAGAATTTTTCATCATCATCGTTCAGAAAATTTATTTTTGACAATTTTTGTGTGTAATTCATAAATGTTTAACTAAGATTGCATAGACACATCAACGTTTTAACCACACACAGCGTGCATTCGTCTGTGGTAGGTGCGGGTGGTTAATCACCATTTTTATTTTATAATGTTGTACATGATTTTTAACAGAGTTACAAAAAGGAGAGTGACTTTCAATTCGACCGTACATGTTTTGTTTTTGTTCGTTCGTCTCCGTTATTTATGAACCGATTTTAATAATTATATTGTTGTTGGAAAGGAGATAAAACTTGTAGGAGCGCGTAGTGCTTTTATATGTTAAAATCGAAATCTTTAATAATAACTTGACCATTTCCAAAAAATATTAAATCTTCAAAAGTTGTTAATATTTTTTGCTATTAGAACCTTTTTCCATTACTGATTATTTGTAGGTATATCGTGTCGATAAATTACATATATTGCTCACACGAATACAATAAATAACATCGATATATTGGGATACCCTGCCCTATCTGAGTAGCAAAATAGTAATGTCTATTGGTACAAGTGCATACAAATATGACATCTATTTCAAAGAAGTTAGCGTTTTGAATAGAATGAATTTGTTACAGCGCCATCTAGCGTTGAGTGGCTGAACCCGTTTGTAAATTGTTTTATTTAAGTTTCTTACACGATAGACGCCTTTATTGATTGTTACATGTGAAATGATAACAACTTTCGCTCATTGTTATAAGACTCAATTTTTAACAACATTTAGAAGATGATTTGCTAAAGTTGCGTTTCATCTTTTTACCCAATTATATAGCTGTTTTTAATGTGTGTAATGGACAATTTGATTTGCGAATGTGTGATTTTGGCGACACTGGTTTTCCTTTTGAAAGATTGTAGGGGCACTTCTACTTAATTTTCTGTTCTGTGCTTATGGCGATTGCACCGGGGACCCTGGAGGCGTTTGCAATGCAACTGTAATGGTTACACTTCTATTATTATGGCTAACGAGCACTTGTTTACCTGATGGTAAGCACCGCCCATGGAGCCTGCAGCACTAGCCGATTTATGGTTACCTACCTTTTATAAACAAATTCAAATTCAAATTATTTATTTGGGGAACATAGGTAAAGATAAGATGTAATTACAATGTTAGGATCGCTATGTTTAACCTTATAGGCGTACAAATTTAATTATATTTATAAGGAATACAATATTATTATTTTTACAAAAATTTAATTATAAACACAGTCAAATAGAGTATATCATAAACAAATCGGACACCTTATGTAACGGAATTTCTAACAATTACTTTTTGTTTATTCCCTCTGTTAAAAATTCACCAATGGAATAGTACGCATGCATTGATTTGAGGATCGGGACCTTTTCGGATTAGAGATGGAAGCGTCGTTTCAGGCCACTTTTCCGTGGCTGGGCAACTGGCTGCTACGCAGTGTTGCGAGTTCGATTGACGCGCGGAACAACTCTTTGTGTGATCCACAAATTGTTGTTCCGGGTCCAGGTGTGATGTGTAGGTATGTGACATTGTATGTTTATAAACGCACCCACGACATAGGAAAACACACACACAGGACATTTTTTTGAAAAAAGAACAAAGAAGTTATAGGTCTTGAAGAATATGTCTCCAAAAATCCAAACTTTTTAAAAAATCTTAGTTACCCCACTCTCAAATTTACACTGGCAGTAAGAATTAAGTTATACTTACTGTCTCACTGCTAAGGCGCAGCAAGCAGTCGTCTCAACCGCTAGGGTGGTGCGCGACTCTACCAGCTGTTTCACTGCGTTGTGCAGTTGTTGGTACAATATGGATTCTTCCTGTTCTAGTAACTCCACTGCGCTTTGAGCTTCCATTAGACAGGACCTAGAGATATGCAGGGAGATATTTATAGAGACTTTATGATATTTAATAGACATTCAATTACAGAAGTAACACACTACCGGGATCATATTTAAAGCTGTTGTGTATAAAAACATATTTATGCTGTTTATGAAATTACTAAAAACATATTTATGCTCTCTTTTATATACTTACATACACATTTTTTATTCGAATTTAAGAAAAGGAATTTATTTTATTAAAATACAAGATACAGTTGACAAGAATTACTTAACAAAAAAATGTAGATGTAGTCAGCATTTGATATCAAACTACACTGAGAAGAAATGGAGAAACAAGCACAGAAGTCAGTATCTTTTAATGTCCAACCAACACCCTCGTTTAAAATCTGCATGTAAATCAATACAATAATCCTTAAAAGGTTTAATGGGTTTTAAATCCTCTTTTTTACTATTCATGCGTGGTTGTATGTATATAAATATATAAAAAATAATATTTTTCAGTTAGGATTAGATTTTTAGAGTTGAACCAATTGTTATATTTAGAATCATATGATGCATGTTCGATGTCACTAGTGCTTAAATTTGCTTAAACTAATTGCGTTCAGGAATCTTTGATATTTTATGTTGATGTAATATCAACAAAAATAAAGTACATAAAGTATTATTTAACTCTTAATGGAGTACATCAATACATACACAATAAACTATGGATCAGTTTCCTTTACTGTTTAAAAATATTACTTACGTTATTTGACTAGGATGTACATCTTTGTAGTTGGCTACCAACGCGACCTTGGCTTGTTCTCCACACAGTTCAGCTTTGGATTCAATGTATGAGCACATTGCATCACTCAACCTGGAACAGAATAACAATATTTATTGTATATAGTTAGGCAAAGTAAAATAATAAACATTTCGGATTACTGACCACTTAAAAATGGACTTTAGGTTCCTCCAAATTAGTATTACTACAGGATACAACACAGCATTGTGTTACGCCCTGTGAGTGAGGTTACGGGAGGCCCAATCCTTCACCACCCCAAACCAAACCAACCCCAAATTCTCCAAATCCATAAAGGTCGGCAACGCACTCGTACCTCCTTCGTTGGTGTCTATCGGTCGGCGCCGATTGCTCACCGTTAGGTAATTAAAAAAAAATGAAAAATCATTTATTCCAATTAGAACATTACAGGCACTTTTGAACTTCAAACAAAATTTTGAAGATATAAGGTGTCAGTCTGTCGGTCAGTCTCTTAGTGAAGCTATTTGCTGGTTCCAAAGTGTATATTCTGGTGGAGAAGAACAAGCAAGAAACTCCATGGTTACTCTTTTTAAATCAGTTTCACATACAGATTATTTTACAAACAGTTGGTTCAATGATGTGAGAACAGTGTATGTTCGTATATCCGTATGATCATTTGCCGTACACAAAAGTATATTGATATTACAGAATCATATCACTCTTTACTCATACAAGTCATGGCAGACTCAATGTTTTAAAACTAAAATTTCAATGAATTTCTCTCTAAAATATCTTACAGTATATTGAGAGATTTCTCACCTATCCTCCATACTCTTAGCCTCAGCCAAAGCAGACCTCAGTTCTTCGTCCGAAGAAGTTTCATTTGCTCGCTTCACGAACTTCTTAGTGGTGTACAGATCAAAGTGCGATCGGAATAACGCCTGTGACTGTCTGTAAGTTTCAAATGGACCGAAAGTGAAGAATTTTCTTGCATTCTCCTGAAAAAAAAAATTAAGTTTTGTCAGTTGGATCAAAACTGATACATGTATGTGTTAATATAATTCTAATTAAAAATTGTGAGGTTTACCTAACTAAATTCATTGAAAATCATTACTGTTCACATCAATAACACTCACTCTTCATGAGTAAGAGTACTGTAACAGTACTCTTACTCATGAAGAGCTCACAACAGTTGTGAGTTTGTGACTTGAAATGAGTAGAGATTTTCTCGGTCAAATCACACATCATAAGTAAGTCTAATATGTTATTAATTTAATATGTCTAATGAGCTATCCAAACTGTACAAAAAATTTTTGTTTATTAGTTCCCGTATGTGAAATAGTATCTAAGCAAGTATTTCAATTTTAAAAGTACAGTCAGGGGTCAAATATGCAATTGCACTCTACCAATTTTAAGATGACCAAAATATCTTTGCACGAGTCAATGGTTGAGGACTGCTTTAATTTATAAATTATTGAATAAACTGGCTGTAAACCATTGACCTTTTACTACAAAGAAATTTTAGTCATTTTAATATTGGTAGAGTGTAATTGCATTTTTGACCCGTGACTCTACATAATAAAGAGCCTCCCTTCATCATCATCAGCCTGTTGTCGTCCACTGCTGGACATAGGCCTCCCCAATTGCACGCCACTGAGCTCGATGTTCAGATGTTCACATTGTAGCTGGACAACCGGAAGTCATGCAACACATTGTAGGTTCTATGCCCAAACAGAACTACTCTACTAGTGATCAACAAATTATTGTTTTAAGTCTGGATGTGATATGTATGTGAATTTGTATCATTTCAAATGCACCAACAACACAGGAGAAAAGCGAGTTGCCCAAAGCAACCTAATTATCTCTCACACATGTTCTTTATACAAAAAATTGGCCACACAGTTTTCACGAAAGATTTGCATGCCAATATCAGATTTTTTGCACTACTACTATTTTTAATACTATGGTTATAACAGAATTCATAATATTTCTGTATAAATAACAATTAACTGCACGGTGGATGCGGTGGTCGCGGGTTGATTACCGCGCGAAACAACTCTTTGTGTGATCCACAAATTGTTGTTCTGTGTCTGGGTGTGATGTGTATGTGAAATTGTATGTTTGTAACCGCACCCAGGCCTCAGGAGGAAATCCTAATGATTAAATGTTAAATTATGAATTTGAATAATTAATTATTAAAAATTGAACAATGATTTTTTAAGAAAAAAATTACCTTATCACAATGACAGCTACTATACACATCCAGAGTATCAGCGATGACATCTATCACACCACTGGTGATATTTTCCACCTCCTGAGCGAGGGACAGACACTCATCCGCTGCGGCACTCTCATCATCCTTCCATTGATGGTATGAGGAATTCAGCTTCGATACTTCTAGTGTCACTTCTTCTTTTGTTAGTCTGGAAAGGATATAATTTATTTGGTGTTTACAATCCATAACAATATTTTCATTTTTATATTTCTTGCTAGTAAAGGATTTTAGAGTTTATGATACTAATTGAAGTGAATGCACACATGGATATTATGTACTGCCGTACAAACATATATAAAACAACATCAGTAAGTATACAACATCAATACATAATAAACTATATATTTATCATCATATCATAATAAACAATATTTTACAAAAAACCTGATTATTCAGTAATTTCAATGGAGAGGAACAAGCAAATAATAAAATGAACATTTCTCTCAGATAACAACATAAAAATTTTCTACATGCTACATACTACTTTTTACATAAAATATTTACTTAGAAACATACCCATTCTGTCTCTTCAAGTCACTGAGTATGGTTTCCTGTTTTTGTAACATATGCAACCTTTCTTGTAACATTTTGATTTCCAATTCTACATCTTCTTTTGAGTCCTTATCTCCTGGTAGACAAATACCTTCATACTGGTCTTGTATGGCCATAATGGAAGATTCTAGATCTTCTGTGGATAGGAGAAGACCTTTCTTTTCCAATTCTATGTAGCTGTAAGTAATGAGAGCAAAATTAATGGTATATTACATTAATTGTGTTAGTGTGTTGATATTTATTTTATTAAAGGAAGATCTTTGTTCCTAGTGCGGTTCCTTGTGCTATATAGTGGAGCAAATAAAACTTATTAGATGTTATTAACAGTTTAAAATTCGAATAATACAACAAATTCTATCAGAACACGAGTTCCAAGTGAGTAGCGTTTTCCAATACCTGTTTAAGGTAAAATGTTTCCAAATTGTAAATATAGCATAATGTTGTACTTACCGACATTCTTCACGAGAACTCAGTGCATTATTATGATCCAAATTATTATGAAGCCAACGTAAAACTCCTGCAAAATCTCGATCATTTAACATCCACTCAAATGACTTCTTATAAGTGTCAACGCCCAAACTATGCAAGAATGGGACGAATTCTTCGTCACTCATTTCATTTAAAGAATTCATTGTGTTATTTATTTTATGTTTTACACTTAAATTGAATATTAAACATTCATAAGCCGTTAATGTTTTCGAAAAATCAAAACAATTTATTTTGACGTTTTGGATTTTAGTGTTGCCACTGTTTTCTTATTCTTTACTACCAGAAAAAATCAAAATTTAGTAAAATAAATATTTCACAAATGCATTATTAATGAGTTTAAATCTACTCTAAATGGAAATTATAAATTAGGTTGACGCTTGTCTTGCAAAAATGCAAACATATTTGAAATTTAACTTTATGTTTATTATATTCACTTTATATTTTAATTTTTGCAACACACAAGCAAAGCGTTTACAGAGATAGCTTAAATTACATTTGTTTAACATAATAAATAACAAGTTTATAATAAATCTGTGGTGTAAATTGATGTGCCCTGTCGCGACAAAACATTCACACTCCGTTTCAAATATTTGACAGCACACTGCAAGACTCTATCAAAAACGGAACCACTAATAGCCCAACTCACCCGTTGCCATAGTTATAACAATACGGAATATCAACAAGAAAGCGATGAGTCCGACGAATGTGTCGCGTTCGGAAAAAAATGTTCCATACAATTTCGTCTTTAAAATAGTTACCTAGTTTATGAAACCAATAGGCTTCTGATGACATGAAACGCCACGCTAATATTGAATATAGGTATTTATGAAATGTCATATTTTCATAAGTATATTCAATACTACTATAGCGTCTCACGTTTACGAAATATATGATATTTCATAAATATATTCAATATTTCTATACAATTTACCAATCAGTCTTTACAATTTACCAATTTATAACATTTGGACAAGATAATAGAAATAAGTAGGTACCTACCTAAGTAGCCAGCACAGGTACTTACATCACAATATCATTAATGTGACGTTATCTGCAAAGGTTTTATTTTTTTACATAAATAGTTAATAATAAGGTGAAGAGTTTTTGACCGTATTTTCTGTTTACATATTTTTGAGTTTTATTAGTTTAATCGGAAGGTTTATTTATCTACTTTACTGTTTACTACATCAGGTATTTTATAATTTGAAACACTTGACGTTTTTAAAACCGCTGTTTTTTATTATAGCATTGTTATTAGAAAATGTAGGGTCTGTTCTCTCTGCAACTTTATTCCTGCTCCACATTAACGATCTGCTAGTGCCTGGTATCTTTGGGTATGCAGATGATAGCACAGTTGTAGAGAGATACCTACCTGCCCAGTGCTCGGGCCACTAAGGAGCTAATCCAGTCTGAAAGGGAGGCTAGGTATGGTAGAGCGTACGAATGTCTCACTTCAGACAGTTTCCAAGTGGGGCAGAGCTAATCTGGTAGCATTCGACGCCACCAAAACACAGGCGTGTCTATTCACCGCCAAAAGGAGCCCGTTCACCTTGGCTCCTGTTTTTCGGGATGTATCCCTGGAATGCACCGACCGCCTTCAGCTTTTGCGAATAGACATTGCTTCAGACCTCAACTTTGGGCCGTTCATTAAGTCCAAGGCCGGGGTAGCTGCTAGAAAACTCGGCGTTCTTGCAAAAGTCCGACGGTACTCCACACCGAGTCAGCTTCTAATGTTGTACAAAGCACAGGCCCGATCGTGTGTGGAGTACTGCAGCCACATGGGCTGGTGCTGCAAAATGCCACCTAGCGGGTTTGGATTCAGTGGAAAGGCGTGCAAAGAGGCTGATTGGTGATCCGGATTTGGTTGGGTCCAATCTTAAAAGTTTCAAGCACAGGCGCAGAGTAGCCAGCCTTGCGGTGTTCTACAGAATGCATTTTGGGGAGTGTGCGCAGGAATTGCACGATTTGATTCCGCCATCCCCATTTCAGCTTCGGACATCCTGGCGTACGGCAAATTTCCACCCTTACGTTGTTGAGACACCTGCGGCCCGGACTAAGCGTTTTGCTTCATCATTTATACCGCGTACATCAAGAGATTGGAACAGTTTGCCGGCTGCAGTCTTTCCGTCCAAATATAATTTAGGCGTCTTCAAGGCTAGAGTGAATAGGCTCTTAATAAGCTAGTGCGCCTTATTATCAATGATTGCATCACTGCTTACCATCAGGTGGGATCGCAGTCAAGCACTCGTTTATATCAAGTAAAAAAATTACGTTGTTGTTGACTTTACAGTTGGGGGAGATACGCTCCGACTCGTAAGTTCATACTTACGAATACAAACACACTCATGTGTATATCATTGATATTTTTAATGTAACAACGAAGAAAACCTATATACAACATTGTTTGCCTTGTGTTTCAGAATAAGGTACTGCCCCAATATTTCCAATTTCTGCTAAAGCACTTGTATCTTTTCTGGTATTGAGGATGAGGATGTTTACGGTCGGTATTGACTACCTACTATTTAGTTGTTCAGACACTTCTAATCTATATGCCCCGTACAAAAAATACAGCAAACGCATACACGTAAACTTCCTTCTTTTCCTAAACGACAACCTGAAAACCTAATCCCCTGTTTACAATTCAATTACTTGGGCCCATTAATCTGTTACTTCCCAGTTACACGTGCCAGACAAACAGACAGACATACCCAGACATCTATATGTTACCCCCTCGATCAAACCAGAACATCCTGAGCCCGTGTCCTTTTGCTCTTGACCTTGAACTTGTACCAGCGTTCAAGAGCGAGGATATGCCAAAACCGAGGGTCCTGATTGACTAACTACCCACCAAATTGTCACATCCTTCGTTCTTTGTGTCAGCATTATAAAATGATAAATGGATTGACGCAGTTATTTCGCCAGTTTCTTTGTTTGGAGAACTTTACTGTTGTTGTGGACGGCGATTCGGAATTTATGGACTTAAGGGGCCTGTCCAAACAATTGCAGTCAGTTGGGTTATTTATGAGGCTTGAAGAATGATGAGGTCTTGAAGTTGATGCTCTTGTTTATAGGCACACTTAAAGCTATTACGCATATAAATCTGAAAACTGAACTTTATAGAAATTAGGGCAATTTTTTCGTTGGTAATGCTTGTCCGCATGTGCCCAAGCGAAGATGGTAGGCGGTGATAAAAGAGATATTGTAAAGCATGCAGTCATGCATCAATGAAATAACCATAACATAGCTGTTATCGAGAGCTTCCCAACATAAAAAAATATCAGACCAAGTATCAATCAAGGTGAAAACTTGTGACAACACGACACATTCATTTAGACACAATACTTAGAAATTCCAAACTAAATTCATGACTAATAACTTCAGCAACTAATGGGTTGCAGTTTGCATAACAGCGTGGGTAGTAGGCGTACGGCCTGCTGCCTTTGTCCACAGTAAGTCCTTCTTTTGTATTTCATTATGCGAAGTGGCCGTCACTGCTCGTGCCATGTCGAGACTACTTCAACTCTTCGATGCAGGCTCGCTTCCGTGCTCACAACATGAACAACTTTCTAGTGCGTGTCCATAGTTTTATGGGACACGTGAAAATGATTTATTTTTTAATGACTGTATCTAAAAATTCTCGGGCTTTAGTTTATCCCTGTGAAATGATAGTCTAGTAAGTGTAAGTTTCAGGATAGTTGTGGAAGTTTTTAGAACTGTTATGATTAGGGACTACAATATAGTAAAAAGCTGGTAATGCACTTTTCGATCGTCTGGAGTTGGGGGCGCCTGTGGGAGGCGGTGAGTGCTCATCATCGATAACCAATCTTTAATCAAAGTACCTTCCAATCCGAGACCGATTTCTCTTTTCTTGGAAAATATAAAACTAATGCACTATGTCAATAATCGATTTTAGTCCAGTATTTTGAATTGACATTCATTTTTCATCAAGAACTGCTTGTTTGTTTGTCTCACCAAAAAAACATTTTAGGTTAACCGAAGATTAGAATATATTAATTTCTAAGTAATCTTTTCTTTTGTCTGGTTACCTATTACCTCAAGACATGTGAAAAACATCACACTTGAATTGCAATATAAGTCATTATAAAACACCGAACTTTCACTGACATCTGCATTTATGTGCCCACTGCCCCAGAGGTCCCCTGCGAGTGACGCAGAAGTCAGGTGATTCTACGCTCCAGTCAGGGGTCATTATAATCCGTGATGTTGGATTGCTCTCAAGGTTTGATGTCCTAACGCGGCATTGGTGGGAGTCACCACGCATACTAATTTTATTTACATGTTTCTTATATACTAGCTTCCGCCTGCGGCTTCGCCCGCGTGGTAGGTATGTTGATAAAAAGTAGAGTGTATCCTATGCTTGTACCAAATTTCAACCAGATCCCTTCAGCCGTTTTGGCGTGATTGAGTAACAAAGATACAACCATCGTAACTTTCGCATTTTACTTATAATATTAGGTATAAGTAATTTAGGCGTAAACTTTAGTCTCATTATGAAAGGCCGTTATGTTTCAAATATACATATTTATATCATTGGACTGAGTCCACGTCTAACAATGGACACACACATTCATTGCCTACATAGGAAATAGGCGACATGAAGTACCCTCAACATCAGCGTTGTCCTCACAAAGAAAAAACAATGCAGTCAGCTTGTTCAAGCATACAACCGATACATGTAATAATCTTTTAAAACACAACCCTATTTCTCGAGTAATAAAGTGTAAAATCTCTTGGGTTTTGGCATTGAATGAATGTCAAAAGTCCTTAACGGTATTGAGGACCACTAGACTTGTTCGTGCGTTATGAACGCCTAGTACTTTTCTATTTGATTTGCACTGAGTTTGCAACCCCATCGTCTTTGAGAATTTAACAAGCTATTTCTTGGTTTGACTCTCAGAATACAGATTGTTCTGTATTCTGAGGTTTCAAATCAAATCAAAATCAAATAGCTTTATTTGCCGAACAAAGGTGTAGTACATAATTAGTGACATAATTAGTGACTAAGATGTTATTTATCTGAGTTACATATCTCTTTGATTCTACCCATTGGGCATGCAAATATTGGGTATGTTTCAGCATATTGTAATTTAACAAACTCAGTCAATATAGGTATGAGTCAAAAATAAATTATTTTCACATTCTTAAATCAATCAATTAATCAGTCACAAAAATTATACATAAATAATCGAAAAAAAAAGTATACAGAA